ATTTGCCCGCTATTATGCAGGATAAACACAAAGCAAGGGAGCACACTTATATGGTGTCCATTTTAAGACATACCTCAGTTTACTTCATGCTCTTAATATTATTATCATTATTATTATACAGGATTTATACACTGAGTGGCCAGATTATTATGACCACCCCATTAGTACTTCGTTGGGCCACGAGATGACTCCACGAGATGACTTGGTTGGGCCGCCTCGTGACTCCACGAGATGTTGAAAGGTGATGCAAGGAATCTGACACTGCACTGTTGCCTTTCTGTTGTCTTGTACCAGTCTTGCCACTCTCCGTTCTGCCCTAACATTGACTAGTCGCTGACCGCCACAATTCGGAACGTTCAGACCCAGATTTTCGGCTGACAGTCCTGTCTTTAAACACTTTAACAACAGCTGCTCTTGAACATTTAACGAACTCTGCTGTTTTGCTGATACGCCAACAATCATCCCACGTTCAAAGGCTGTTAAATCTCATTGTTTATCCATATCTTCAGAAAAAAATCACTTCTACTGTTGTGGTAAACAACCTGCTTCCCTATTTATAATGGTCTGGCCCTCTAGCAACTTCAGCGCGAAATTATAGCTAATTATAGCTAATTTGCCTACAAACGTCAGGTGGTCATAATAATCTGGCCACTCAGTGTATAGCGCCAACAGTTTGTGCATCGCTTTAAAACATATTGGGAGAAAGTACAATTACAATACATCACCATACAAAAGGATTAGAAGGACCATGCTCGTGAGAGCTTACAATCTACAAGGAGGGTCAGGTGATACAGAAAGTAATAACTGTGAGGAATGAGCTAATTGAAAGAGAGTAGATGTACAGTTTTTAGTGGAATAGTCTTCCCTGAAGAGGTGATTTTGAGGGATCACCTAAAGGCAGACAGATTAGAAGATAGTCGAATAGGTTGTGTTAGGGAGTTCCAGAGCATTAGAGAGCCTCTGGAGAAGTCATGGAGGCAAGCATGGGAGGAGGTGACGAGGGAGCTAGACAGAAGGAGGTCTTGGGAGGAGTGGAGAGAACAGTTTGTGTGATATCTAGGAATCTGACACTGCACTGTTGCCCTTCTGTTGTCTTGTACCAGTCTTGCCACTCTCCGTTCTGCCCTAACATTGACTAGTCGCTGACCGCCACAATTCGGAACGTTCAGACCCAGATTTTCGGCTGACAGTCCTGTCTTTAAACACTTTAACAACAGCTGCTCTTGAACATTTAACGAACTCTGCTGTTTTGCTGATACGCCAACAATCATCCCACGTTCAAAGGCTGTTAAATCTCATTGTTTATCCATATCTTCAGAAAAAAATCACTTCTACTGTTGTGGTAAACAACCTGCTTCCCTATTTATAATGGTCTGGCCCTCTAGCAACTTCAGCGCGAAATTATAGCTAATTATAGCTAATTTGCCTACAAACGTCAGGTGGTCATAATAATCTGGCCACTCAGTGTATAGCGCCAACAGTTTGTGCATCGCTTTAAAACATATTGGGAGAAAGTACAATTACAATACATCACCATACAAAAGGATTAGAAGGACCATGCTCGTGAGAGCTTACAATCTACAAGGAGGGTCAGGTGATACAGAAAGTAATAACTGTGAGGAATGAGCTAATTGAAAGAGAGTAGATGTACAGTTTTTAGTGGAATAGTCTTCCCTGAAGAGGTGATTTTGAGGGATCACCTAAAGGCAGACAGATTAGAAGATAGTCGAATAGGTTGTGTTAGGGAGTTCCAGAGCATTAGAGAGCCTCTGGAGAAGTCATGGAGGCAAGCATGGGAGGAGGTGACGAGGGAGCTAGACAGAAGGAGGTCTTGGGAGGAGTGGAGAGAACAGTTTGTGTGATATCTAGAAATGAGGTTGGAAATGTAGCAGATGGCTGACTTTGACTTCCTTCTATCTTTAGTCAGCAATCCAATGATCATATCCTTGAGCACCTCAACAATGCATTAAACTACAGTCAAACTTGTCAGGAGTCAGGTGCCAGGGTTATGTGCAGAGGTTCGAATCAAAATAACCGGCAACCGAGTGAATAACCGAGCCGAAGTGAAGTGAGCTGAATGCTGTTCGGCAATTCACTTCTGGCTTGTACGGCTGATTTCAGCCGTACATCGGCTGAAATCAGCTGTACATCGGCTCTAAAAGGAGGCAGAGTAACAAAAGTATCTAGTGACACTAATCGTTGACGTCTGACTTTATTGATGTCTAATGTTGACGTCTGACTGTTGACTAGAGGTGCCTTGGCGAGGCAGTGCGGCTTTCACATTTTCTGCAGAAGAAGTGTATCCAAACCTCTTTTTTTTAACCTTTAGCGGTGAGACAAGTTTTTTTGCATGCTGGCTGGTGAGTGTGCTGGGAAACTTTTTGCTGTTGTACTGTATAAAGCCCTACCATGTGCACCTTGCTGTAAAGCTGGTGACAAATTGATGAGTGCCTTTGCCATTTGTTTTGCTTGACTGATTTGGTGCAGTGACGCATGGGGGGTCTCAGCTGCCGTTGTGATGTGCGGGGTCCCTTGTGCGTCCCTGTACCTTTAAGGGAGGTTGGGCTTCCTCCTGACAAACCCGCACCCAATTTTATCTTTTGCTACATGTGCTCCTAGATGGAGACTCTCATAGTTTAGAGTTAGGACCGCACTATATAGAGGTGCCTTGGCGAGGCGGTGCGGCATTCACATTTTCTGCAGAAGACGTGTATCTAAACCTCTGTTTTTAACCTTAGCGGTGAGACAGGTTTTTTGCATGCTGGCTGGTGAGTGTGCTGGGAAACTTTTTGCTGTTGACTGTTGACTCTGGCACATGATTTTGATTACTGACTCCTGATGCTGACTACTGCCTTTGACTCCTGACAACTAATGCTGACTACTGACTTTGACTACTGACTCTGACTCCTGACTCCCGACACTGACTACTGACTTTGACTCCTGAAAACTAATGCTGACTACTAACAATGACTACTGACATGATTTACTAATTAAATGTTTAGTTATTGTCATCTGTTTAGTTCTTAATAAAGTGAACTCAGTGTCAGATATACACTGAGTGGCCAGATTATTATGACCACCCCATCAGTACTTAGTTGGGCTACGAGATAACTCCACGAGATGACTTCGTTGGGCCGCCTCGTGACTCCACGAGATGTTGAAAGTTGATACGAGGAATCTGACACTGCACTGTTGCCCTTCTGTTGTTCTCTCTACCAGTCTTGCCACTCTCTGTTCTGCCCTAACATTAATTAGTCGCTGACGGCCACAATTCGCACGTTCAGACCCAGATTTGCGGCTGCCAGTCCAGTCTTTAAACACTTTAACAATGAGCCCCTCTTGAACATTTAACGAATTCTGCTGTTTTGCTGATACTCGCTCCATGGCTCTGAGCGCCAACAATCATCCCACGTTCAAAGGCTGTTAAATCACGTTGTTTACCCCTATCTTCAGAAAAAAATCACTTCTACTGTCGTGGTAAACAACCTGCTTCCCTATTTATGATGGTCTGGCACTCTAGCAACTTCAGCGCAAAATTATAGCTAATTATAGCTAATTTGCCTACAAACATCAGGTGGTCATAATAAACTGGCCACTCAGAGTATATTTGATGGTAAGTGCATGCACACTTAGTAATGTGTAAGTGTTTTTTCTTTCTTTCAAAAAGATCACTTGCCCCCGACTTCATCTGTCTTTGTGCAAGCATTATCCAGGGTATATCACTATACAAAGATTCTGGTCTATAGAGGACACAATCAGTTAAATCCCTGTAATCCCTGAAAATCCTTTATTCTCTTGGCTGTGTACATGCAAGTCTCATATGCCTAGATACAAGCACTTATCTGGAACTGAAGTACTGTTTTTCCACAATTAACAGCAATTAACTGTTTTGTTTTGAAAATGATACAGCTGCTGCATATTGGGACATCTTGAAGAAGAACTCCAGGTAAAACAATTATTAACCCTTACAGTGGGGTTTTTGTCTAGGGGCTAAAAAAAATTATACTCACCAGAGCCGACTCCCTGCTTCTGTGATCACTGAAGTGTGTCGTCTCCTCTGCTGCACAGACGTAATGCTCCTTGGCGTCCTCATGTCTTTACACAGTTTATGCACAGTATATAGAGTGTGGTGACACCAGGATCCATAGACTGCTACAGCAGAGGGGGAAGAGACATTCTAGACACTGGTCTAAGAAAAAGCCAGCTCGAATAGTCTGATAAGTATACCTTTTTCTTATAGAACCTAGACACAAACAAGCACTTAACCCTTGCAGTGCTTGTTGTAGCCCCACTGCAAGGGTAATTTTTTTTCCTGGAGTTCTTCTTTAAAAATCTGTTCATTCAAACTTGCAAAGTTACAGATACATGCTTTAAAGCTTCTATCCAGCTGACAGGACGCTTGACTTAGATCAGCACAAAATGCTCCAGAATAGGTAAATGAGTATATATGAGTATATTTGATGATTTATGCATAAGACATAGGGATGCACAGATACCAGTTCAGATAGCATATGCCGATACTTGGCATTTTCATGAATACTACCAGGGTTGCAGTGGTTGCAGCTGCGACTAGTCCCCGGTGCTCCACCGCTGTCCTGAAATCACTAGTTCGTATTGTTTTAGAAACACTTACACATGACAATAAAAAAAGGGTATCAGTAATTGGTATGTGTGAGTACTTGGACAAGTATCGGTACTTGTACTTGGTCTGGAAAAAATGGTATCAGTGCATCCCTAATATATATATATATATATATACACCTCCTAACTTTTAAGTTTTTCTCTAGTCTAGTCTGAAAAAATAGCTGAACAAATATCAGTACTTATACCAAGTACAGTACTTGGTATCTGTGTATCCCTAATAAGACAGTTTTGACATTATAAGTGCTCCTTCCCAAAAGGCAAAATGATGCCTGTGTGTCCTACTAAATGAAGATGAATTACAAAGAATACAAATCTTATTGTAAGTTCAATATAAAAATTTGACAATTGCTACTTACACGGCTGCCCTTCTCTGGCCAACATTTACATCCTTCACTGCAGTCTCTTCCACCACATGGCCCAGTGTAAGACTTTCCACCCTAAGATCAAAAAGACAGATAATATTAATGAAAAGATGAATGAAGTGTGGATTGTGTCCACTGTGTACCATACATATAAAACAATTTTAGTAAATTCTGTATTCTTCAATTCTATTCAAATAAAACTCCATTAAAAGTAATAATTTCCCATATACTTTATTTATCTTTTTCAAAGAAGGGGCATGATGAAAGTAATTTGCTTAAAATGCATATAAGCCCTAACAATGACTTTCTCATATTTGGTCTCATTTGATCTGTTATATAAATATACAATTGAAAGTGTTTTTTTAAAAAATGTTTGTTCAATAGGTGTAAAATAATACCTGTTGATCATGTCAGACATTCAAAGCTGTCCTGTATTAATGTGCACAATTCTTGTGTTACCTCAAATAATTAGCCCTCCCAGTTCTTATCTTGGAACTACAGAATGGATAGCCTTTATCTTGTGGAGTTGGGAGAGTAGGTGGATAGGAAAGAAAGAAGAAAGTTGGGCAGCGCCAATATCATTCAGTCCACAAAAAATGCTGTGTGGTTTTTTTTTTTTAACCCCTAACAGAAAAGGGTCTTTAAAGGGAGGAGCATTGGAAACGTGCATGCATTGCAGAGATGTACTGCATATTTTTTTTAAAATTGTGCTCTGACATATACTTTAAGGTTGAGATGAGATGAGGGCATTTATTTTTACATTCCTGCTCTAAGCACTTTTCGGTCCAGTTATCTGCCAGCACTTTTTATTTGTAGTAATTGCTGGTCCACTTTAACTAAAAGCATGATCCTATTGAAGCTAAGATGGCCTGAAATCGGTATAACACAGTGTTGTTTAGTGGCAATAGGCAAGCTGGTGAGTTTATTGATACTCTTCCCCTATTGAGTTTGGTCTTGCTACTACACCGACCTAGTGACTAACCAATACCAAAATTAATGTTTTTTTTGTCATGCCACGTAGGCATCCTTAGGACTTATTTTCAGAAATATCACACATTAATCTGGAAACTATGATAACTAGGCACTAGTGGGAAAGTGCTTAAGGCAGTAGTGTTAGAGATGGTGCACCAAGCCTCAAAATGTAGTGATTTCAATGATTTTTATTTTGTTCATCTCCTCTTTCTGCCTCTGAACATGTTTATACCTTCCAACTTTCTGAGATGAGAAAGAGAGACACCTTCTAGTATAATGTACAGTAATTCAGCCAAATACAGCCATGCTGACAACGTGCCTATTCAGTTAAAAATAACATATTCAAATTAGTTTAACTATAACCTCAGAAGCAATTGTAATTTGGATACGGTGTTTATATAAGTTTCAACATGATGTAACACTTACACCACCAGGACCACATTTTGTTTATTCTGCAGCTTCAAAGTTGTTTCAGATCTGTTTCTATAAAATAACAATCCAAGTCTAGATGAAAATACCATTTGCTTACCATACCATACTATATATTTGTTTTGATAAAGCTTCATCATTTAACATTGTTCTAAAGGCCGACTTTTTATAAATTACTATGATTAAAGCATATCTAACCCTAACAACAAATATAATATATTTCAGCCTACCAGTCCTTAGATGTGGTGGCTACACTCTTTTTGTTAAATTTGGGCTTTTCTTTTGATCTGATTTTCACCTGATGATTCTGCCAATAACCTGTTTCCTGTCTTAGGGTGACAACACTCACTTACTGCCCTGTTGCTATGGAGGATCAGTATTGTCACCCTCGGCTGCTCTCCTGATGTGGACTACAAACCCTCCTGCCTTCTCATCTCCATTGCCTAGGAGGAGGTGTTCTTTAGTTCACAAAAGGGAACTAGTAAGAGCTGAGAATATTGTTTAAGTTATTAGTTCACTGCACAGAACATTACAGAGACACTGGGATTCTGGAAAGATCAACAGTTTTTTTTCTGTACTTAGAAAGTGTACTTAGCCCTAAAAAATAGAAAACGCATTCAGCCACCACATCTAGGAACTGGTAAGCAGCAGTTGTAAGTGCATTACATTTCTGTTGGGTTTAGACATCCTTTGAACAGTAAATAGATACATTGGCATAAGCAAGCCATAGTAGGTAATCTAAATGCACTACCTGATCTTTACTACTCAATTAAAGTATCCTTATTTACTTATTATTATGCAGAACATTAATTCACTAATTATAATACTCAAGTAAGGGTTAAACTAAATGTGGGGGTTTCATCTTATTCTTCTGAACAATTTATCAACATGATTGCTATCACCTAATTTGTAACACATTCAATTTCAATATTTTGTTAATTCGCCTGACTCTGCTCTCACTTGTGGAATGTAGCCTTTCTTTGCTAAGCATATAGGACTTTGTGCTCAGAAAAGTAATAAAATATTCACAATCCTCATGAACAGCAGTTTGCCACTAGTTCCAGATCCCCCAACACCACCCTAATCCCTGGTAGGGCTTTGTGTGGCAATAAGCAGAGTTTAGGCACTTTCAGGTACTTATTGGAATATGTATTGAAAGTCAGTCAAGAAATGTTGCTAATGGCTTCCTGATCCTCCCAGAAAAAGAAAATCTGTGGTCATTTTAAATCTGCAATTGCAGAAAAGATTACTTTTGGTATTTGGCACCATGCCTTCCTGGGCTTACTTCCTCTATTTACTACGTCAATTCAGAGAAAAAGTATAGATGGCCTCGGTTCATGGGATAAAGGTTAGCTGTCAAACGGAGGGTCCCTGGTTCAAATCCCAGTCAGGACACTATCTGCAAGGAGTTTGCATTTTCTCCCTCTGCTTGCATGAGTTTCCTCAGGGTACTGCAGTTTCCTCACACACTCCAAAGACATACTGGAAGGTTAATTGGCTCCTCTCTAAATTGGCCGTGTATGTATGCATGCGAGATAGGGAGCTTAGATTGTAAGCTCCTTAAGGGCAGGGACTGATGCCAATGTGCACTATGTAAATTGTTGGTGCTATATAAATACCTGTAATAAATAAATAAATACATTATTACACATGCTCGGGCATTGGCTGGTTCCCAATGTGGGAGAGTAAGTACTGTTCATAAGTAACCGTAAAAGTGCATGTCAAAATTATCAGCAGAATCAGTGATATAGGTGGCTGATTTTGTATGCAAATCTAAACTTTTCCACCAAAGACTGGGCAATGTGGCACTCTCCAGTCTCCCAATGGACCAATAGGGAAGTTTGGAGGTGGTCAAGGGATTGGGTCAGACTTGACTTTTGCAAAAAATGACAACATTTTAATTTACCTTCATCTGCCTATATCTGCCTAAAGCTCTGCTTATATACTGATGGTCATGTGGTCAGTTTGAATTGCTGATACAAGTTTATTTTAAAGTGACACTAAACTCAGTTAACCCTTAAAAGCGCATTCAAGTACCCTAAGTATTAACAAAATGTATCTTATTTGTGTATCACTCAACTGTAGATCCTCAAAACATCTCTGAATTGGTGCTGACACTGTCCTTCCTTCTGGAGGGTGGCTACTTTTGGCTACAATCTCAATACAAATTAGTAAACTAAACATGAGATTGAAGTCCATCACGGGAGTGAGCTTGGAGTGGTGACTACTTTGCAGGGACCTTGGGGAACAAACGTAGCCACCCTCCAGAAGGAAGGACAGTGTCAGCACCAATTCAGAGATGAGTTGAAGATCTACGGCCGAGTGGTGCACCAAGAAAATTAAATAATAATTTTAGTTATTAGTTCAGGTATTTGAATGCATTTTTAAGATTCAACTCCTGAGCTTAGTGCCACTTTAAATGTAAGTTCCCTAGAGGTGCCTATTGATAACAGGTAAAGCAGCCAAAGATAAAATAATTATTAATTAGATAGAATATTGATTCGTTAGAAATGAAGGTTTTTAAAGGTTTTGGTGAAAAGAGTAATGTTTATATTTGTGAACTGAGTATTTTGCTAGAATATTGTCATAAATTAAAGCAACAAACTCAGTTAAAATTACTACATTTTTTTAAATGATGTTTCATTTCAACATTGAGATTATACATGTCTCTTTTATAGTTGGTGTAGTCCATAATGATGATGGCTCCCCCTTTATCGGCGGGCTTCATAATAATGGAGTCGTCCTTCTGTAATATTTTCAAGGCGTTTGATTCTTCCTTTGTCAGGTTTGAATAATTTGGACGATTGTATATTCTTCTTGATCTATGACATTACGAGTATCATATTATTTCCCCACTCTGAGATTATGGTGCTGTGCCTGTGTAATGCTAATAGCTGTACGCTTGCTCTTTCCACACTCTGCCGATACTCCGGCTGGCGCATGCGCACTAGAATCGTGGAGAATTGTATCTCCCCATCACCCTGGTTACGAATGACGTCTATCATATGCGTCTAACCAGGACAGAAGGCGATGCTGTGTATATCACAGAAGGACACCGGATCGCAACTCTGCCTCACACTCTTTACATCCTTAGCAGATCGCCAAGATGATTTACATTACACCGCCACAGCCATCATTCTTAACCTCAGACTGGAGGCAACAAACTGTGAGTAACATGGATAGTATATATGTGTTTTTTAAACATGTTTTTGTATTTTAAAAATTGTGTTTTTCCCGCCATTCTGACATCACTGGGGGGGTGTCTATTGATAATTGGTTCACATCATGGGGTATATATGTGGTGTGTGGACACCATCACATTGTCACATCTTTTGCCCTGAGGAAGGGACCCTGCGTGGCCCCGAAACGTCGGCTGTTTGACTATTGTGACACGTATGTCCAATAAAAAGGACTTATCTATTTGAAACCAATCTGAGTGCTGGTAACCTATTCTTTCTCATTTCAACATCTGACATACTCAGTACATACAGTATACTAAGCATGATGAAACTTTGAAAATTAAAATTACACTAAAAAAGTACAAAGCATGTATAGACTTTTGCTTCATGTATGCAAGAATGATCCATTGTCTTTTGCTCCCACTTAATACAATGTGTGAATTCAAGGCACAAAGATATCTTGAAGGCAGGTTTAATGTAATTCCTCTTGTATTG